TTTAGCTAAATTATTAAATTTTATAATATTATAATATTTTTTATTTTTTTATTATATGACCGATCCAACAAGTTAAACCAACGATTGAACCAGAAAATCATTGACCTAGTCCCCTTATCAATTCGATGACCGGTCTAGTTCTGATAATACTACTATAAACAAAGGGTTCAATAGCAGTCATAGTGGCTACCTAAGCGCTCAAAATATAACCAAAAACTTTTGAAATTAGTAATTAAAACTCTTGATCGAATCACACAAAGCAAGGTATACAAAATTAATAAAGCATATAGACTACAAATAAAGAAACTTTTTAAAAAAATAAATACTTCAAGATCATATAGTCAGAATGCTGCAAGCATACATGAACCTTTTGATTTTCTTTCATGAAAGCTTTCCCAAAAAACACATTCACTAAATGAACAATGCAAAACAAAATATTTTAAATCTATACAAATGATTTTACCTTCACACTCTATTGCTTATTATGCTAAAATGAATTTCATTTTGGTGTTTGTGTAATACAAAAAATGTAACCCAAAAAATACTTTAATTAGAAAAAATATGAATTCTCCATCAATTTTACATACCTACAATTGAACTTAGGAATCAAAACCCCGATTTTCATTTAAAACAAAACTCAGATATTCCAACTCTTCTATCATAATTTTGCCTCAGTTGGACCTAGACATCAGCCCCATTCATCACATTGACGACCATATATCCATTTTTAGTAGTTCAACTGCTACCGCAACACAAATATGTAATGTCAACTTATAAGGAACTTGTTTTGGCCTCTAGAGGCAGTTCCAAACCTTTAATGATCTCTCTTATGTTTTCCTTTGTAACTGTTCTTCGTTTTGTTAGCTCTTTTAGTTTCTCATAAAGGCCTAGAACATCAAATTTTCATATTACCCAAACATATAAATTTAAAACCGGGTTAGAATAGGGTGTGTTTAGAATAAAATGCTATCATTTAATTAATGAGAAAAGCAAGGGATAAAATTCCATTAGGAATTCTCTCCCTAGAATCTCCCAAAACATCAGCTATCTTCCCACCAAATCCTCCATTTTTAGCAACATTTGAGTGATTGAAGGAGAAATACTCCGAAAGGGATTCTTTAATATCTTCCAGCAATTTCCCACTGGTGCTTTGTTACCAAAATTCATAAACATCTGTTATGCTTCTTAAGAGATATTTATGGGTGTTCTTTGTTACCAAATCCTCCAAAATTCCTGAGTTTTGAGTTAATCCTGTTGTTTGATGTGTTAACCAAGAATCCTAATGTGTTTGACTTGCACTTTGGGATGGAAGAAAACAATTTTATCTCCTTATCAATATTGACAACCAGCTTCCTCTCCCCCAAAGTCATCAACTCTCTTCACCCCTAATAATCATCTGAAACAATCTTATCCAATATGGACTTCATTTTAGCTTTAAACATCTAAATCATATAAGAACTATTAAGTTGGTGTTGCTTCAGTTCTACTTGCAGCAATAAATTTATATGACATTAAAGTTATATACATGTCATCTAGTAACATGGTCCAATGGAACCATAGCATCCATAAGCATATGAAAAAAATTATGATTATTAAAAGAAATTCAAACAAAAAACAAACATCTTATTGCATATGAGGATAAATAGCATAAAGGTTCAAAGATCATACCTTACCAAGAGCTGCATCAATCATCTTATCAGATGTCGAAATCTAATTAGCAAAACCTCATATTACTACAAACATGCGCACACCAAGGAAAATCACAGAGATATAAAATATAAAAATCTCAATTGTGCACAACATTTGTAAATGCATTGAGCAGACACACAAATATACATCGAAGAGTGAAACAAATTACAGAGAAATTGTCCATAGAAGAGAAGAGAGAGAAAGAGAAGCAATTTCCTACCACACCATGAAGATGCAAACTAAAAATTTCTCACAAAAAGGCTTCCGGGTCACATTCTACTGCTATATAGGAACATTTTTAATGCCATATGCAGAAAACCAACACTCATGATTGGTGGTGGCCAAAGGTACTAAGAGGAGCGCAGAAATTAGCAAACTCAAAATTGACAATCTTGAGAACCCTACCAATTTTGATAGGAGGGAGAAAAACTTATCTGCCCATGAACAAAAATGGTGGCAGTGGGAAGAAACTTAGATAAACCACCAATTTGGAGTACCAAAAAATCAAAAACATTGTTCGTAGCGACATTTCATTGAAAACATGGTGTTTGTGAGCTGTGCCGCGGGGACAGTTTTTTGGCTGTGGGTGACAATTGGTGGCTCGATTGGTGGTGGTATCATCTTGGCAATTTATCGAACAATTGGTATGTATGGAGCTTTCGAGTAGGGTTAGAATGGGCGAGAGAGAAAGAGATATGAGATGCGTTAAAGGGAGTTGAGACAATTGTCAGAGATACCTGAAATTGAAATAGGTGTTAGTAGTGGCGGTGGTTGTGCAACGGTGTAGACAGATGGAGATACCCAATGTTAGTGGGCTGACAACGTCGCATGTGGGTGTCACTGGGGTCCTATGTAATGTAAGTGTGTGTTTGTTGTGTTTTGTGAAGGGGATGTAGTTTTTTTGTGTATAGGGAAAACAGAGAGGAGAGGAAAAGGACAAAAAAAATACTTGGAAGTTGTGCAATAGTGGCAGTAGTGGTGGTATGTAGAGGCTATAGCGTCATATGTAGAGACGGTGGCGAAGGCGATGGTGGTGACGGTGGCGTGGAAAGGTATGACGGGGAGAAAGAGAGACGTATCTGAAAAGCCAGGAGAGAGAGACCTATGTGTGTGTTAGAGAGTGAGATATAGAAAGAGTGTGTTAGAGTTGTAAATGAAATCAAACTCTTAGCCCAATTATAGACTAATTATGATTGTTGGATCGAAAGTCTGAAAATTATCTGAACCACGAAAAGTTCAAGACAAATTTTTCAAGCTACTTTATTATATAGATATGCACACTAAAACCTGATTGAAAATGGATGAGCCCAAAATTAACTGGGCCAGACCCGACAAATCAAGAGAGGCCCACGTCATTTCGGAGCCCAAGTAATCCATATCCAGAATGGAACCCAACTCACCAAACCGTCAACACCAAGAAGGAGACTAAGAGGGAGACCACCCCAAGGGGCGCCGCCCAAGGGGACCCTTGCCTTCCTTTGCTCCATGCTCTCTTCCTCAGCACCTCTTGTGGTATCTTTCCTCTCTCCAACCCAAGTCCAACTAACTCAGGATTCTCCTCCGAAGGAATAGGAGCACAAGGGAGATAATATCAGGATACGCATGGAGATCTAATTCTACCATAACTGTACTTACTAAAGTGGTAGAAACCCTCTACCTCACATCACCGCCTCACCGCCTTACTCAGTCTATATAATGTAAGCCCTCTTCACATAGAGGGCATGCTTTTACAACCTTGATATCTTTACGCCTTGAGAGTTCTACACATACTACACCTCCCTACACACATTGCTCTCTCTCTCTCTCCAAAGCATTGTAATACTTCCGGAGTTATTCTCCCGGTGACTTCATTAATTAATAAAAGATCTCAGACTACCGTCATGCTGTTTATACAGACATTTGGGGTCCAACAAGGGTCAAAAGTATTTATGGATTTCAGTATTTTGTAATATTTGTTGATAATTCCTATTGTATGGATTGGTTATTTCTTATGAAAGACCGATTTGAATTACCCAAGTTCTTTACCACCTTTTATAATGAAATTTTGGTTCAATTTGACTTTTGTATTAAAGTTATTCAGTTTGACAATACCTGTGAGTATACCCAATCAATTATAAAAATCTTTTATGCTGCTCTTGGGATTATCCATCAAACCACTTGTCCTCAGACCTCCCAACAAAATGGCTTGTGGAACATAAGCATCGTCATATTAATACACTTGATGAATTTTTATAAACAATGGAATACTGAGGACTATAGAACCCTTAATTCAATTCACACTCCAACGGTTGCCCTCAAATTAATTATAGTGAGGATAGTGGAAAAATACTTTTGAAAGCTTTTGTTTTCATTAGTCCAAAATCTCAAGAAGAAGATTTAATAAAAATTTTAAACAAAATAATTATACCAGTATTTGTTTACAAACAATTGGCAAACAGTAAGTGAAGAGATACTTGGCCTGAGTTAATCAAAACTCCAAACTGAAGAACATCTGAATTATCCTTCAATATTTAATCTAAAAATTCAATCAAAAAAAAATTGAATTTGTACATCTCCTTTTGGGGTTTGTGAAATTTGATTAATTTTCCTATTAATTACAAGTTGAGAAGAAAGTACAGATTGTAAATTCCATAATTCTAAAAAAGTAATATTTTCCCATTTAATAGCTTCGTTTTAAGCAACTCTTTTTTTTAAATAATTTATTTCAATTAGAGTAGTAATACCTTTTTTATTGTGGTACTTGGAATTTAGAGTTACCTTATAATAAATTCTATAAGCTATAATGATGGTTTCAGTACCATCCATATAGTTATAGGCAAAAGTTTGGATAAGGGTGAAAAGAAGAGATACTTGACTTGAGTTTTAAAGAACATCCGAATAACCCTTCAATATTTAATCTGAAAAATTTAATCATAAGTGAATTGAATTTGTACATCCTTTCTAGGGTTTGTGAAATTTGACTAATTTTCCTATTAATCATAGGTTGAAAATGAACTACAAATTGTAAATTCCATGATTTGAGAAAAGTAATATTTTCCCATTTAATTGCTCTATTTTAAGTAATTCTCTTTTTAAAATAAGATTAATTGCAGCTGCGGCCCTCAAAGTTTGCACTTCTTCTCATTTTTGTCCACAATATTACAATTGTATCACATTAGTCTTTGATATATTGAATTTATTTTAAGTTCGATAAAAATAACAAAAGTTAGTGTGACAAAACCATTTGATAACTCCCAAGGGCGGAGCTAGTCTCGCCTGTCCCACCCTGGAATTTTTTTTATTTTGTTTTTACCTGTATGTTCATCTACGAGCTGAAGCAACGGACACTTTGCACTATGAGGCGCAATGTCGGATTAAAGACCCTGTCGTCTGTGGCCGTGTTCGAATTATTACTCAGTTGCATCTACAAATACACGATGCACAAAACCAGTTAGCCAAAATGCAAGCCGAGGCTGCCTTCCTCACTGCCCCTGCTCATGAAGAACTCCAAGAATCTGCATCAAACCTTCAACACCTTATTGCCCGAATAAAGTGACTTTAGCAAGTAATTTTATGATTCTTCCACTACTTGTTTTACTAGAAAATTGTGGAGAAATGAGAATGAAGAACATATAGTTTGATCTGTTTTTTTTTTTTTTTTGTGGATTTCCTTTCTTTCTTTTTTGTTTTCTTTTCATTTATTCATATTTTTCAATAATTGCTGGATGAAAATTAGACTGGTTTTTTTTTTTCGGTCTAAAAAAAGAAGTTGTTTTGGTAATGCCCACCTATACTTAGTTGTGCCCACCAAACCACACCTATGACACACGAGAATCTTTTTTATTTCATTTGTCATACAAGTTCAGTATCGAAATGTCATTTTTTCAGTATTACACATTCATTTTTAATTTAATAAAAACACATTTAGTATAATTTTTTCTATTTTTTATTATTTTTTCCGTCAATGATTGTAAAATCATTTAAAACAAAATCAACAACCTATCAAATTTTGGCACCTTACCATAACATTATCATTTACATATATCTCTCAGCCCCATAACATTATCATTTACGATTTTTAGGTTTGTTAATTACTTTGACAATTGGGTTATTAAATTATATGGGAATGATTGTAAATGGCTACAATAGTCTCAGTTTTCGTAAAACCGTGTAACCAAATTTGTTGTTGTTTTTGTTGTTTTGTTTTTATATTTCATGTGTTTGTATGATTTTGAAAAAATGACTTATTTACTTTAATTGATTAAAGGGAAAAACTAAAATTTAAAGTTGAAGTGTCCACTCTCACATAAATTTCTGGCTCTGCCTTTTTGAGGGTACAATGTGAAAAAATTAATTTTACAGCCTTGTTTGGTATAATAGAAACATGGAATTATGAAAAGTTAGAGATATAGATAAAAGATCATATTTGGTAATGAAGAAAAATAAGAAGAATGAAAAAGTGATAAATGAGCTTTTAATTAAGTTTTTATATTATTATATTTAAACTTTTTGTTACCCAAATTGAACTTGATAGGGAGAGAAACAGAGAGATAAAGAGAAATTTATTGAAAAATTATGACGGCAAGTTTGAACTCGACTTTTTTGAGGGGTTAAGATTTTATATTTTAGTAACTTTAGTTTTCTGTTAACTTTTTTTTTTTTTTTTCAAAAAATTTAATTTTAGTGCATTTTAATTTTTTGAACGGAATTAATAGGATCAATTTACTCAAGTTTAAATAATAGAAAAATTTTAGCTACATCCCTTATAGTTTATCATATCTTTAAGAATGCACCCTCTATTTTCTAAATCTTCACTGACACCCCTATCAGATTAAAAATGTTAATTAGAATACAATTTTACTAAATTTTCCATGATATATTTGAGAAAAAAACTTCATCCACACTTCTTCTAGATAAACATATCTTCATTGAGCCCCATTTTATTTTTTAAATTTGTTTACGTATTAAAATTCGAGCCGATTAAAATTCGATTCGAACTAATTAAAATTTATTTTTAATTGACTCAAATTAAATTTTAATCAACTCACATTGAATTTTAATCGATCCGAATTTTGATACATAAAAAAATATAAATTTTAATCTATTCAAATTTTAATACGTAAAAAATAAATTTTAATCAATTTGAATTGAATTTTAATTGATATGAATTTTAATAAATAAAAAAATATAAATTTTAATCAGCTTCAAACTAATTTTATTGGGCGCTAACAACTCAGGTAGAGCTCCAATCAGCTCGAATTTTAATACATAAAAAGAGAATTTTAATAGGTTCCAATTTTAATACTTAAAAATTTAAAATTAATCAACTTGAATTGAATTTTATCGACTCAAATTTTAATACGTAGTTAGCTTAAATTTTAATATGTAAACAAATATATTTTAATCGATTTGAATTTTAATTGAATTTTATGTAGAAAAATTATTTAGGGTTTATGTATGGACATTTTTTGGTATTTTAGGTGTATTTGTTTTGTTAGAAATTGTGGTTTAATGACAGGAGTGTCAGTGATGTTTAAATATAAATTAGAATGGGTGTCAGTGATATTTTTGATAATAGATGAGATATCTTTAAAGATATAATAAATTAGGAGGGGTGTGATTGAAATTTTTCCTAAAATATTTTATTTAGACTTAAATTTAAGTTTTTTGTGGGACTTTTTTCTAATGAATTTAAAGTTTTTGTTTGAATCAGCACTGCACACCTATAAATTATGAGGCTTTTCCTGAGAGCCTAAAGCTCAAACTTTATTGCCCCAATGATGATTGGGCCGGCCTGGTGTCCTGATAGAGACATAAATTGCAACTGGCATTGATATGAATATGGAGCAGATATGCAAATCATGTAGATACGATTGATAAAAAATGCACATTCTCCATCACTAAATTATTATAGATTCATAATAGAGATTGCAAGATCGTCCCTTTGGATAATTCTATATATATAAGTCAGTATAATTTGGTTTAGTGATAAAATTAGAAGGCATAAAACTCACATCTCCAGAGTACTCCAGATCACTCACAAATTCATAATTAAATAATATGCATGATTTATAGGTAATTGAGAAGATCACACATTTACGAAAAAATTATGTGTGTGAGAGAGAGAGAGAGAGACTTTCACTTTCATTTGATTGGGTGATCCATAATCTGAAGGCGTGTGCTCTTGGGAAGTTGTTTGGAGCTTAATTCCTTTAATACTAACTCTTTTGGACATAGATTAGGTGGCCTAGATTGTGGATGTTGGAGGGCAATTCTTTAGTTACCAAATCTACTTGAACAAGGTAAGCTATTTCATTGGTTTGGCATATTAGGATAGTAGTTACTACCTTTTTTTTTTTTTTTAGGAGTGGGTACTACAAATTGTCCATCACACACTAAATTCCATATGTAAAGTTCTAGAGAGCAGTACATATCACATAATCCTAGAAAGAGAGCAAATCAATCTTAGGTAAAAATGACATGAGATTATGGATTATTATTGATGTCACAATCATAATAACAATAAATATTCATTCTCAAAGGAAAAAGGTCTTTTTACTGTCAAATATATATGGTTCTTTGGGGGCAATTAGTAAAGCAACCTTAGACTAATATTTCACTGCAACTGGTACTCTTCAAACCCAAAAATACAGTGTTGAAATGGCGTAGTTTTCTCAAATATAAAAAATAAGAAAAGAAAAAAAAATGGATAAAAATAATACTCTTTAATTGGCCAAAATAATTCATCCAAATGTTTCGATTTAGATGCTAAAACAGCTCACTAGTCCACGTGTCCCTTTAGATCTAATCCATCAAGTTGGTTCAGCTCTAATGTCATCATGTATTCATATGGGAGCTTATATCTTGCAAGTGCAGACTGGCACAAAGCTTTGAAGGCTTAGCCGGCCGGCAGTGGCCATCCACGAGTTAGGAAGTCCCTTATTATCACCCGATTTTTGTTAGATAAGTCTTATTCTATTAAGGATCAACTTTGTACTTAGAGTCCTAGTTAAATTCTACCTTGAATATTCAAGAGCTAGTGATAAAGCACATAAGAACAAGAATCGTAATTTAATTTTACTCCGAACTTAGAGGAGATGGTGATAAGATCGATCTATTACTACATAGAGTTCGAGTTCCTTTGTGATACAACTTCCTATCACTATGAATAAAAGCCTCCAGGTATTAGGTAAGGGCATTTAATCCTAACTTATTCACTTCATACTCTTCTTCAACTTGCTATCTGACTTATCTATCGTAGTCACTTTAGCCGCCTCCGGCCACCGGTTCACCTAGGTTTTCTCTTGTCTTACAAGTTACTCAAAACTTTCTTACTGTCATCTCCATCCGTGCAAGGTGGTGACTCCTTGGACAGAATTCTCCCCGCACAATTGGCGACGTCTATGGGGAACAATAGGTTTTTTGACAACTCACAAGCTTTGATTCATATTAGGCGAAAGAAGCCACAACCCCAAAATGAGTCACGCAATTCCTTTATTCCCTCCAATTTTAGAAAACCCTTTGAAGCAAGGCACCCAATTGCCTGAGGGATGGCTACCTTAAGTTGGACTCATGACCAAAGGCGAGTACCAAGAAGCAATAAGGAAGAAGATGGAGGAGCCCTCGTCAAAGAGGCAAGAAACTTGCTAGTGTGGTCAAACGTCTAACCTGTGAGTTTGGTTATCATGATGATCACTGGGAGGAGGCTCACTCTTCCTTGCACAAGAGCAAGTCACCAGCAAGAGCTATTCGACTTATAATTAGAGTCGAAACAAGTATTCACTGAGATATGGTATTTCCTACCGCATGCATAGAGACCTTTCTCTGAGGGATAAGCGGCCTTATCATGGAGAAAAGGGAGGCGAGTCACAAAAAGAACGTCATCCCCAAGAGCATGGAGAGTGACATGGGAGTTCAACTTACCATCCTAGAGGAGATCACTTGGATGACAATTTTGGATGGGAAAAGTGTAGGCGCTCTGAACCAGCCCATGCACAGTTCACCTGGCTGCAACACAACCTCGGCCAAGATAATCTCATATATTCAGCAAAAGAAATGGCAAGACAAAACCTGGTCAAGATGATTACAGCCCCTTTCATTTGCTTTATATGAGAAGTCAAACCCCCACGTGAGTTCACTCCTCCCTCATTCGAATTATACAATGGCAAGTTTGATCCTATGTCCCACATTAGAGCCTTTTACCAACAAAATGGCCCTCTGGACGAGCAATGAAGCATTGATTTGTAAGATATTGCCCTTTAGTTTGGGGAAGTAAGCTCTTAAGTGATTTCATGGGATGCCCATGAACTTGAATTTCTCTTGAGAACAACTAGCCATGGAGTTTGTCTCTCGATTCATAATCAATAATTAGAAGTCGACAATGATTGACACACTTAGCATTAAGTTAAAACATGGTGAGACTCTCCGTGAGTATGCCATGTGGTACCTGGATACCTATGTTGACATAGACGATTGGGATGAGAAAATTGTATTTGGCTCTTTCCGCTTGGATCTCCCCATGAAAAGTGAATTGAGGAAGCATCTCACTATGT